TTAACGTGTGCGCGCGCCTAGTGCATGTTGCAGGGGATGGCGGGGGGCGTCGATACCGGCCCGGCGGGGATGGTACGAATTGACATTTACGATTGACGATGGGCAATGCGGAAAAAAGGATGCGGATTGCCACGTGGGGGGGTAGACGCTATGAGTTTCTGAAAGGAAATTCTGGCCGGACTTGAAGTTGCCAACTCCGCTGCCCACGCAATCATCCCATTAACCAACCCGCAAGTTGGTTTATAAAATCCATGTGGCGGCGATTGCTATGACTGTTCGGCGCTGGCTGGCGCATCGCTGCGGCGCGCGCTAGCGCGCATGTTCGCGCAGAGAAACCAACTATTTTAGCGCGACCGATGCAGCCGCTGTGGCGTTGACCGCTGGGAACTGCAATCGCGCCTCGCAGGCCGCGCTGACGCGCGGGCACTTCAGTGCCAGTCAGTAGTTCGGGCGGGCGCAGTATCATGGCGACGTCGACACAGGCAGACGATGATGATGATACCGGTGAGGGTGACGATGATGACCATGACGACGGCAACGCTCATGACGGCGCCGATGCTAGTCACGCTGATGACGATGATGGTGTCGCGTGTCGGTGATGAAAGTTCTGGAGGGATATCGACATGCGCGCGCGGCCGACGCGTGCGAGTGGCCCGCCGCATGATAGTATTGTGTCATTTCGGTTAGTTCGCCGGCCCATTTCGCATCAAAGTGGCTGCTTGGTGGTGTGCTCGTGCCCATGCATAACGGTGGGGCAGGCAAAGCTATCTTCGAAGATATTTTTGGATATGTGGTCAGCACCAACCGAGAATATTGTATAGAGTGCACCAGAGGGCGCCAACATGGCTCAAGAGAACTGCATCAGAGTTTCGAGCCGTGCCTAGGTTGTGGGTGAGGGTCATCATGGATGTTTTTTGTGATTTCCTTCGGGGGTTCACGGGAAACTCAGGGGAACTTTTTTTGATGTTGGAGTTGTGGGGGTCTCTTTTAATGTTTCTTGGGGTTCCTTGACAGGCTCTTGGGAGGCTCTGTGGTTTTTTTTTGCTTGTTGGGGTTGAAAGCTCGACATGGCTGGTCTGGTTCCCCTTTTGGCCCCCTTGTTGGGGCCATCCTGGGGCCGTCTTGGAGGCCTTTTGTGTTGTTTCGGGGGCCTTTTTGGTGATTGTCTGTGCCGTTTTGGAAATTTGAGGCCTATTGCGCCGTCCAGGGCGGTCGGCAGTTCGAAAAGGCGGTGCTGCCAAAATCGTTCGACATCCCGCGGAAAATCGCTGATTTTTGCGTCGGGCCTTTCGAACAGGAGTCCTCCTCCAGCGTCTTGGGCGCTTCTAGGGCCGTCTTGGGAACGCTCGTGGCCTGAAACCGTGGGGCGTGCCATCCGTTTGGCGGTCATTCGGGCGCTCGTGTGGGCTCCGATGCCGCGCCCGGGACTTCGGTATCTCTGGCCCGACTTTGCCGGGACCTTGCCGGGACTTTACTGTTTTTTTGTTCGCCCGCGGTCCCCCAGGGGCCGCCGCGCGCCCGCGAACTAAACACATTCTTACGTTCACGCCAGAGATTTTAGCACTCCTCTGGCCCTGTGGGCCAGCGAATTTGGTAGGGATCGTGCGCCACAAGCAAGCGCGCAAAGGCGTTCGAATGATTTCGACGCGCGCGCGGGACGCCCGCTTTATCGCGTTTGATAAACATGTTGAAACAAAAACGTGGGGGTTCCTAAGAATTCACAAGAACGCGCGCAGTTTTTCGGTTGACGATTATGTTGCAGAGTCGCTGGTTTCAGGTTGTCGGGCAACTCGATCTTGACGTCATTAACGAATTTGCGGTCAGAGAGAATTCTGGCATGCGCGCGCGACGACGCGTGCGTGTCGATTTTGTTCAATTGTTCCCAACCTCCCTTGATTGGGTTCTTGTCTTGAACAGAGCAGTGGGGTCTCCAGCTCCTCCTCCTCGCCCCCCCACCCCGCGCTCCTTTCGGCTCTCTCCTCTCGCATCCCTCTTGGGGGCCGCGAAGTGTGAAACTGTCGCCACTTTCGAGGGCTGCTGGGGGAGCCCGCATGGGGCCACACGCAGATCCGAACGGATGCGAAGTGTGAAACTGTCCTCACTTTCGAGGGCTGCTGGGGGAGCCCGCAGAGTGGGGCCACACGCGAATCAAAAACGGGACCTCGCCATTCCTGGGGGGCTGCGGAGTGTGAAACTGTCGCCACTTTCGAGGGCTGCTGGGGGAGCCCGCAGAGTGGTGCCACACGCAGAACCAAACGGGACCTCGCTATCCCTGGGGGGCTGCGAAGTGTGAAACTGTCGCCACTTTCGAGGGCTGCTGCAGGTGGTGCCACACCAAACGGGACCTCGCTATCCCTGGGGGGCTGCGAAGTGTGAAACTGTCGCCACTTTCGAGGGCTGCTGGGGGAGCCCGCAGAGTGGTGCCACACGCAGAACCAAACGGGACCTCGCTATCCCTGGGGGCTGCGATGTGTGAAACTGTCGCCACTTCGAGGGCTGCTGGGGGAGCCCGCCGCAGAGTGGTGCCACACGCAGAACCAAACGGGACCTCGCTATCCCTGGAGGGCTGCGAAGTGTGAAACTGTCGCCACTTCGAGGGCTGCTGTGGTGCACACGAGACGGGCAGAAGTGGAAGGTCGCCACGTTCGAGGGCTGCGCGAAGTGGTGCCACACGCAGAACCAAACGGGACCTCGCTATCCCTGGGGGGCTGCGAAGTGTGAAACTGTCGCCACTTTCGAGGGCTGCTGGGGGAGCCCGCAGAGTGGTGCCACACGCAGAACCAACCGGGACCTCGCCATTCCTGGGGGCTGCGAAGTGTGAAACTGTCGCCACTTTCGAGGGCTGCTGGGGGAGCCCGCAGAGTGGTGCCACACGCAGAACCAAACGGGACCTCGCTATCCCTGGGGGCTGCGAAGTGTGAAGCTGTCGCCACGTTCGAGGGCTGCTGGGGGAGCCCGCAGAGTGGTGCCACACGCAGACCAAAACGGACCTCGCTATCCCTGGGGGGCTGCGATGTGTGAAACTGTCGCCACTTTCGAGGGCTGCTGGGGGAGCCCGCAGAGTGGTGCCACACGCAGAACCAAACGGGACCTCGCATCCCTGGGGGCTGCGAAGTGTGAAACTGTCGCCACTTTCGAGGGCTGCTGGGGGAGCCCGCTGCCCACGCAGAACCAAAGGCCTCCTATCCCTGGGGGGCTGCGAAGTGTGAAGCTGTCGCCACGTTCGAGGGCTGCTGGGGGAGCCCGCAGAGTGGTGCCACACGCAGAACCAAACCGGGACCTCGCTATCCCTGGGGGGCTGCGAAGTGTGAAACTGTCGCCACTTTCGAGGGCTGCTGGGGGAGCCCGCAGAGTGGTGCCACACGCAGAACCAAACGGGACCTCGCCATCCCTGTGGGGCTGCGAAGTGTGAAACTGTCGCCACTTTCGAGGGCTGCTGGGGGAGCCCGCAGAGTGGTGCCACACGCAGAACCAAACGGGACCTCGGGCTATCCCTGGGGGGCTGCGAAGTGTGAACTGTCGCCACTTTCGAGGGCTGCTGGGGGAGCCCGCAGAGTGGTGCCACACGCAGAACCAAACGGGACCTCGCTATTCCGGGGGGCTGCGAAGTGTGAAGCTGTCGCCACGTTCGAGGGCTGCTGGGGGAGCCCGCAGAGTGGTGCCACACGCAGAACCAACCGGGACCTCGCTATCCCTGGGGGGCTGCGAAGTGTGAAACTGTCGCCACTTTCGAGGGCTGCTGGGGGAGCCCGCAGAGTGGTGCCACACGCAGAACCAACCGGGACCTCGCCATTCCTGTGGGGCTGTGAAGTGTGAAACTGTCGCCACTTTCGAGGGCTGCTGGGGGAGCCCGCAGAGTGGTGCCACACGCAGAACCAAACGGGACCTCGCTATCCCTGGGGGGCTGCGAAGTGTGAAACTGTCGCCACGTTCGAGGGCTGCTGGGGGAGCCCGCAGAGTGGTGCCACACGCAGAACCAAACGGGACCTCGCTATCCCTGGGGGGCTGCGAGTGTGAAGCTGTCGCCACTTTCGAGGCTGCTGGGGGAGCCCGCAGAGTGGTGCCACACGCAGAACCAAACGGGCGAAGTGTGAAACTGTCGCCACTTTCGAGGGCTGCTGGGGGAGCCCGCAGAGTGGTGCCACACGCAGAACCAAACGGGACCTCGCTATCCTGGGGGGCTGCGAAGTGTGAAACTGTCGCCACGTTCGAGGGCTGCTGGGGGAGCCCGCAGAGTGGTGCCACACGCAGAACCAAACGGGACCTCGCTATCCCTGGGGGGCTGCGATGTGTGAAACTGTCGCCACGTTCGAGGGCTGCTGGGGGAGCCCGCAGAGTGGTGCCACACGCAGAACCAAACGGGACCTCGCTATCCCTGGGGGGCTGCGAAGTGTGAAACTGTCGCCACTTTCGAGGGCTGCTGGGGGAGCCCGCAGAGTGGTGCCACACGCAGAACCAAACGGGACCTCGCTATCCCTGGGGGGCTGCGAAGTGTGAAACTGTCGCCACTTTCGAGGGCTGCTGGGGGTGCCCGCAGAGTGGTGCCACACGCAGAACCAAACGGGACCTCGCTATCCCTGGGGGGCTGCGATGTGTGAAATTGTCGCCACGTTCGAAGGCTGCTGGGGGAGCCCGCAGAGTGGTGCCACACGCAGAACCAACGGGGACCTCGCTATCCCTGGGGGGCTGCGAAGTGTGAAACTGTCGCCACTTTCGAGGGCTGCTGGGGGAGCCCTTCGCGGGCGAAGAGCACGGCCGTGTCCGCGGCCTCGCGGGCCGGGCCCCCTGGCCGCTACTCCGCGGGTGCGGGGCGTCTCTTCGCGGACGCTCCCCCCCCCCCCCGCGTAACCTGTCCTTGCGGCCGCGTCCCCGCGGGACCGTGCCCCAGAGTCCAGCCCCCGATGGCGCGGATGCAGATGTGTTTGCCGCTCGTGGGGGCTGCGCGACTCGGGGGGGCGAGGCGCCGACCCCTCTAGGGATCCGCCGCGGCCCCTCCCGAGGAGCTCCGCGTCGGCTGCTACTCCCTGCCGTCGTTCTACGTGGCCCGGACGGTGCTGCTGCTCCCCATCGAGCTGATTTGGCCCACCGTGTGGGTCACGGGCGTCTTCTGGACCTCGGAGAAGAAGCAGCACGTGGCTCCCCCTATCATGGTGGTTGCAGGGGGCGGCTTTTGGGAGGGATTGAGGAATCTTCGGGAGGCCGGGGGGCCACCGCTCAGGGGAGGAAACACCTTCGCCGCCAGACAGCACAAGCCTCGCGTGCTTGCGCCGAGGCGCTCGTAAGAACGAGTGAGGAAGCGTGTAAGGTCAGTCCACACAGGCCCTCCCCGCATTATTCAGACGTACACTTTCGCAGGTTCTCGCGGTTTTCTTGGGTCGGCGCTGGACCCCCCTGGCCGCGCTTCCGGCGCCGCCCCTGGCGCGTTCCGCGCGCCAGGGAGGGAGGTCGAGCGCCGATCCAAGAAATCCGCGCCGACCTCCGAAAGTTCATGTTTATGCTGTACTCATTTTCGTTATAGCCTGGAACGCGCTCTGCGACGCCCTGGACAGGCGGCCTGGTGGAGGCACCTACGACCCACTCGGGAAGGATCGACTTTGTGAAGAGGTACTGCTCCAGCTGCGGGAAGAGAACTTTCGATTGGAACGCCGCCTGGCAGAAGCAGGTGCGGCGCATCGAACAGCAGCAATGGGACAAGGGCAAGGGCAAAGGAAAAGGCCAGGACCCCACGGGGAAAGGCGAGCGACGCGCTGACCCCACATGGCCAGGCACCGCATTCCCAACTCCGCCCGCCTACCATACACCTGACGCGCACCCTGGTCTACCGCCTGGGCGGGCTCACTCTGTGTGTGGTCGCGACCCTGAAGGCGCCCGGGCCATAGGAAACCCAGCCCACGGGCGCCCCTGACCTCCCACCCACATGACCCACCACAGGTGGACTCACTTGCCACCTCAAGGCCAACTTCTACTGACGTCATCCACTGCTGAGCCACTAGGCGGACCACGTTGCCGCGCGCCCGCCATTCTGGCGACGCGTGGCTCTCTCTCTCTCTCTCCGCCCCCCCTCCCCCGCACCCGTCCGCAAGCCGCCCTCCAGCGGCGTGGTGCCCACCTCGGCGGCGTGCAGCCCCTGCGGTCTGCCCAACGCTCATTTTCTTGCACCGATTAGGTGCCCCGACCTGGCCCACCCTGTCCACCCCGGCAGTGGGGGCCACCTGGCTTCGGCCACAGTTTTGGCTGGCAACGGTGCGCCGCTTGCTGTCCACCCCGACGGCGAGCAGCCGCCCTGGTCTTCCTTTGGCCCACCCTGTCCACTTGGGCAGCGGGGGCCGCCTCCCGCAACAGCTTTCGCTGGCCTACGGTGCGCCTGCTGCCCACCCTGGCAGCGAGCAGCCGCCGTGGCCCTCCACAGTATTTACTCCTACCTTCTTGCGCCGATTAGGTGCCCCAACCTTGCCCACCATGGCCACCCCGGCAACGGGGGCTACTGGCCTCGGCCTCAATTCTGTTTGGCCAGCAGCGAGCGGTTGCCGTGGCCCTCCTTTGGCCCACCCTGTCCACCCAGGCAGCGGGGGCTTCTGGCTGATGCCGCAGCTTTGGCTGGCCGACGGCGCGCCGCCCCTGCCTCAGTCCCGGGCCGCCGCAGCCTCGGGGCTCCTCAGCCACACCGCCCAGCGCGTTGCACACAGCTTGCTGCCGCCGGCGCGGCCCCGGCGTCGCCGCCCCGCATGCTGGGCTTCCTCGTTGCGGGGCGCTCCTCCTCCGTGCTCTCCTTTCCCACCCCCCTTGCCCGCTCTCCCTCCCTCCGCGCGCCGCGATGGCGAATGTGCTGCTTCCTGCAGCCGCCACGCGTACTGTATCCTGGGCCTGGTCTTGCCGCTTGCTCTCCCACGCTGGCCCAGCATTTTGCTCCGCACATTCCGACCAGGATGCAGCTTTACTTGTCGCACCTTCCGCGCCCCACCTGGGGGGCGCGCGGCCCGCCAACCTTGCACTTCGGGCTCTTTGTCGGCTAGTCGCTGTTTTGTCTTGCAGTGCCCGCACCAGGCCCCGCCTCAGCAGGTACACCGGCGCAGCAGCCGCCTCAGTCCCCGCCAGCGGGGCTGGCCGCGCCAGCGCGCTCAGGGACATGATCCGTCCCCCCTGAGTGGCCTTCGCTTGGCCGCGCCCTTTCTGCGGCCGCCCGCTCTGTTCCGTTTTCCGCTGTTGCATGTTGGCCAATTCGCAATGACGGTGCACCCGTTTATTAAGCTCCTTCCGCCAGCGCAGACGACCCCTGCCTAGCCGCCGACGGAAAAATAGTGTTTTCTCTCCCGCAAGGATAACCAATATGAGAACCGAGTTCTGGGTGTACCTGCAAGTGCTGGCGCTGGTCTACATGTCCTACTCCGCCTTCGCGGGCGTCGGCTTGGCCATCTCCGCCTCTGGGATGCCGCCGGCACGTGGGGTGAGCAAGCTGCCGCGGGCAACGCCCACATGCATCCACACTATGTTTGCGTCGGCCTTCAGGGGTGTCGTGGTGTATTATCGGTGGCAGGCACTTCATGCCCACAGTGCTTGGGTAATGGTATATTATGGTGTTCGTGCAATCTGTTCGTTTCCTACGTACGCTTCCGACTGGCTGCGTTCTTCCACAGTCAACCCGCATAACAACGACGAATGATTTTCCAATACTGCCTTTGCACCCTTGCCCCTTCGGCCCATCCATAGCGACTTTCGCTGGTCAGCCTTGTTCGGAAAAAACGTCACCACGGCCTTCAAAGGCCCTTGCATCTTTACCGCGCATCCGTATTCTACGGGTTGGCTGTAGCATGTCCTGCGTCCCAGGACATCAATTTCTTCAGGCCCATGTGTCGCGACGGAGTGGCCGTGCCGCCGCCTGCTCGCGGCCTCGAGTTGGTTGGCCCGGCCGAGCGTCCTCGAGTGAGCAGCCGGCTGCAACACTGGAATGTGGCAGCACGCGCGCGCAACGATGAGGTTTGTTAGCTCGGGCAGCGCAGGGTCGCGCTGCTCTGTACCTTGGTTCATTTAGCGGGTTCGAGCCCCACGCCGACGGATGACCCCATGAGCTCATCGGCCTCTGGTTTTGGTTTGAAAACATATGTAGCAGATACAAGTCCACCTTCCAGACCATCCAGGGAGGAGGAGGGGGAGTTGCATTATAGTCTTGCATGGTAGGCATCTCGCGCAACGCTACAGCGTTGTGTTTTTTTGAGTACCTGGGAATTGCTGATGAGGAGGATGGCAAGGAGAAACATACCATGAGGGGGACCAGGGTCTCGGGGCTGGGGCTCCCCATCCCTAGGCACGCAGCGGTACGATGGCCATTCTGCTGATTACCTTCTTTTTCGCCTGGAGCGGCTTCTTCGTCGACCTGGATCGTGTGCCTCGCGTCATGGCCCTTGCAGCTGAAGTCAACCCGTTCAGGTTCAGCGTTGAATTGATGATGCAGATAATCATGCAGGCAGGCTTTCAGCAGCACGTTGTCTGTCTTCTGTTCGAATGGCTGCGATGTGCGGGACGGGAAGGCTCGGGCGAGCATGTGCGTCAGCCGTCTCGAGGCCGAGGTGCTGAGCTTGTGCCAGCTTGTTGGAGTGGGCCAGCTCAGTGGGCTTAGGGCTTGGGGCTTAGGGCCCTGAGGACTGGCATCTTTTTGATCGCGTTCAGATTGTTATTACTATTACACCAGAGAGAACCTCAACCAGTGGATGGTTTGAAAGTTAGTGATATGATATCGAAATCGATTGTGAGATAGATCGCGATATCGATAGTGGAATCGACAGTGAGGACGATTGTAATTTCGATCATAGTGAAGTCGATTCAGTTAGATCGATCGTAAGATCGATCGTGAGATCGTTCGTGCGATCTTTAGTGAGATCAATTGTGAGATCGATGGTGAGATCGATAGTGAGATCGATAGAGAGGTGGGTAACGAGATCGATGGTGAGACGATTGATAAGAAGATCGAACAGGAGCTGGGGAACCCGGAAACACGAGAACCCCGCCGCCCACCGAAATCGGCTTGGAACCAACAACCGGGAACCCCGAAACCCAGACCCGGGAACCCGGGAGCCCGGCCGCCTTCCGAAGTTGGCCGGGAATTTTGCCAAATTGTCCTCCAATGCAAGCGTTCATTTGGGAATCAAGTTGTATCCAGTTGTTGTGGGCACTTTCAAAGGATCCGTCGGCTGGTCCTCCCTTCACCAGGCTTGCTCAGGTGTTCTAAACAGTCTTCTCTAAGACCTTTACACTTTCTGTCGCCCTCGGTTGGTGTCCCTCCCGTATCCCTCCCGTGAGCCTCGTGCCCGTGCAAATTCGCTTCTGGCACACACACTGCGTTGCCAGCGCTTCCTGCGAGGCCGCTCACTCCAGGCGTATCCGCTTGCTGCTGGCGCACATCAGGGTAACAGCGCTGTTGTCAGGAGTTTCACTTTACGCGTACCGTCTCGCTGCTAGCGCGTATCGCGTTGCTGGCTTTCTTGCCAGACAGCGTACTCAGAGCTCGCCGGCGACAGGCGGCATGCCTGCGTTTTTCCAGGAAGGTCACATCGCTCTGCTACCATGGCGACAGAAACCGGATCTCGACCGTACCCGCCCGTGGCCGCCAGTTATCGCGTTGCCAGCGTTGCTGCCAGGAAGTTCACTCAAAGCGTATCCGCTCCCTCTCAGAGCACATCTGGATGCCGGCGATCCTGTCGCGGAGCTCGCTGCAGGTGTGCCCGCTCGCGGTTTGCGCACATCGTGGTCCCTGCGGTGCTGCCAGGAGTATCGATCCATGCGTACCAGCTCGCTGCTAGCGAATATCGCGCTGCCGGCGTTCTCGCCAGCTTGGATGCAGGAGTGTACGCATCCCACGCGTGCTTGCCCGCACGATGAGCAGAGGCGTTCTATGGCCCTGACGGCCCCCGGGCCCTCCTGACCATCCGGGCCAGCCCAGCCTAACCAAAGTTGAGGTGGATCAAGACGCTTGGATCCCAGACGCTTTCATCCTGACTATTCCACGCCAGCCCAAATTGCGGTGGTCCTAGACGCTTTCACCCCCCCCCTCCCCCCCAGCCAGCCCAGCAGGAGGCGACGTGCGGCGGTGGTCAACAGGAGGCCCAACAGGAGGCCACGCAGTGAACTCCACCTCCCCCCTTTGAAATCGTGGGGTGGTGAGGTAGGGTTCGCACGTGGCCTCCTACCCAACCGGCCAAGTGGGCCAAGTCGTTTCAGACAGCCTTGTCACCATATTGACCCCAGCTGCTTGTCATCTGATTGTAGTTCGGGTTTTTGCGAGTTTAGCCTACGGCCCATCGCACCACCGCGCCTGGGTTGTGGGGCAAGGGCCCAGCGGGTACGAATGAAGGCTGTTGGAGTACTCCAGGAAAGCGCTCCTGGGAACATGATTGGGAATGCTGTGATTTCCTTGGGTGTGGACCTCTCGGGAGCCCGTTGGGGGTCACTTGGGGGCTTCCGGGGATACTCTTTTGGGATCTTTTTTGGGGCCTCTTTTTGGGCTTCTCGGGTGGCCCTTTCTGCTCATCGAAGCGGTTGCTGAAAATCGTTCAATCTTGGCACAATGGATTTGCTGAGCTAATGAAGACCCATCGGGGCAGTGCATTTTGTGGATGAGCGCGTAGTTGGGCAGCGGCACCGCCTTCTATTTACATTTGGCCAGAGTCGTCAGATCATCGCAGAGATGACGTCGGCGTCATGTCACCACCACCACCGCTACTCCAGCATGTGTGGCGATCTGTAAGATCTGTTGGACTTGCCACCATAACTTTAGCCCTGGCAAGGCATCCCGTTCCGAGGGATCTGCCTCTCCAGATCCTGGATCCTGGATGGAACTTGTCCAGATATCCGAGGGCGCTGCCGATATCCTCTTGGAGCAATTTGGAGCGTCTCAGTCTCAGGTGCCTCTGGCGCCATCTCGAGGCCAACTTGGGCCGTCTTAGGTCCACCTTGGGCCGTCTTGGAGAAACCTTTGAGCCACCTTGGGGCCGTCTTGGCTGTCTTGGAGGGCAGGAAGGTGTTCCCGTAATCTGCAGAGGCCGATCCTTGGGATGAGGCATTTTGTTGGGAACTCTTTCGCTGCAGACGGCGGGCCGTGCAGCGTTCGGGGTCCCAGTCTGGACTGCTTTCGGTAGGCACTTTGACGGCAGCCTGCGCGTCAGAGCCGCTACCGCCGAGCGCCACAGTGTGAGCGCGTCGTCTCAGGGACCTCTTCGGCCCTTCGGGAGACTTGGTGGGCCTTTTTGGGGAGTGATGAGCGCTTGCTGATGGAGGCCGAAGGGCTGATCTGTGGGACAACCGTGCAATGCCTGGAGGTGTTTTGGATGGTTGTGGCTGTCGGAGCCAGCGCCCAAGGCCTCCAAAATGGCCCAAGGGCCCCAAGCAGGTCACGGACGGGCTTTTGGAGCCGGCTCGAAGAATCTCGGAGGCCCGGGTTTGCAGCCGTGCTTCCCAGGCCTTGCGAATTGCCGGGCGGGGAGAGTACGGAGGCTCCAGAAGCACCTACGAAGCATCCAGAAGTAGAGGGTCTGTGACCCCAGAGAGTTTTATAGATTTGATACTAGGGGCCATCAAGGATCTGCGGGCTCTCCACTACGTGCCAGAGGCACTGTGGCGCATTGCTCTCTTCGCATTGATGCATTCCTCGCTGCGTCGGAGGCCATCCTGCCATGCTATGTCCTCCAGGGCAGAACATCTGCTCTTCCTCCCCTCCGCTTCCCGCCCCTTCTCCTGCTCCTCTGCCTCCTCATCCTGCCAGCCCCCTCCCCCCTCCCCCCGTTCCTTTTCCTTTCTTCCCTCTTCCTGGAGTCGACGAGGATGGAGGGCACCAGGAGCAGAGGCGCGTGGCGCTTCTCCGCAGCATGGCGATGGGAGGATCGGGAGAGGGGAGGTTGCGGCACCTGCTGCGTGCAGCTGGTTTCGGCGCCGCCGCTGGGCGGCGCATTCCTCGATGCATGCCTTAGTTTGCGCAACACGATTTAGCGATTCAGCACATCACGGCTGTGAGACACGTTAATGAGCATCTGCGGTGTTTACGAATCCCACGTTTTTGCACGGACGGGTCTGAGTACGTTGCATGCGCCTCCTGGGCGGGTAGACGGATCACTGCACGTGAAAGTTTGAGTCACAGCAACAACATTAACAACAACATCCACCACCACAACAACAACACGGGCAACAGCGACAGCAACAGCAACAGCACCAGCACCAGCAGCAGCAACAGCAACAATAGCAGCAACACCACCACCACCAACAACTACAACAACAGCAACATCAACAATGACACTCATTTTAAGACTGCTCGCTCTTTTCTGCTCGCGGGCCACTCAACACGTATATCCCAAACTCTCGATACCCGCCCTCTTCGTTTTCGATCGTGCCCCCTTGGGGGTATGTATTTTTCTTGCCTGCAGCGTGTATTTCGTGCAGCCCCCATGGCAGGGGAAGAGAGGACGGCGCCACGAGGTTTTCCGCCGTTTCGGAGGGGATGATCCTCAGGGGGGATTTTGGGAGGGGGAGGGGGGGGGATAGTGGGGTCCTGAGTGAAACGGGGCCCGAGAGTCGGGAGTCCCAGAATGGTGCGGTGTTCACACCGTATGGTGGGCTAGTGGGACTTCAGGGCCACCGCACGACTCTGGTGGAAGGAAGGGACAAGGGGGAGGGAGGAGGATGGAGCACGAAAGAGAGTAGCAGGAGCCAGAGGAAGTCAAAGGTCCGTTGGACAGTCCTGACTGCAATGCTGTCCGCTTCCTTCCTATCCCTACCCCAGAGGTACCTCCAGAGATCGCCCGATCGCTCCCAGACTGGCTCAGCTGGTTGGGGCAGCAGGCCAACTTTGAACTGGTGCCGAACATGCAGTATCGCCTTGACCAATCAGAAAATGGGACGAACAGCACTATTGACCCGCCGTTGGCGGGGAAATTCTGGACAGCACACCCAACTCATAGAAAGGAATGTTGTGGGATTATGCTCTTTCACGAAAAGATGTTTCACGAGAGCAAATTTCGAACTTCTCCCGATGGTTCTGCGGTGTCTAAAGAATTTCCCGAATGGGCGGACGTAGAACCAATCGTCCTTTGCACCCGCGCGGGCGTCGATGGAAATGTTCTACTGTCGATGACCGGGCACAAGATCTACGATTCTTATTTGTCACAGAAGGATATTCAATAGGAGGAAACAACTTCCTAGCGTACGTACAATCAAATGGTGATAATCACCAACCCTGGTGGTTTCCGGTTCAAGGTTCCATGGGAAGACGACGAAGCATATGTATGTAATCAGCTACACAATGTCCGATCGGGCATGGAGCGATGTCCACATTGCAACACGTTTGTAAAACGGTATCAAACGATTCGGGATTGCCAAGACAAATCAAACATAGAGATAATGGATGCTTTATTCCGAACAGGACGCCTGCAGGTGGATCCTGGGTCAAGATGGACCATGCTCGAACCATCTCAATCGGGATCAGTCCATTGATCGCTCTGAACAGAAAGATGTTTTCGAAGGTTGTTCACGACAACTTCAGAATGTTTGTGAAGCACCATAAACAATGGTGACGGACAACTTCAGGAGAGAAACGCCACTGGCGGGTATGACAAAAATTGCCAAATCAATGTGTACCCTCTCTCTTGTGTGGCAGAAGCATGTCGGAGCATACGGCCTGTTAGACGTGATTCATACTTCCGTTTCCGAGAGCCGATCAAGAGAAGACCCATGTGCTACAATTTTTGGAGGGTTGATAGTACCAACGTGTGCCAATGGTGGCCCATAACTTGGAGTCATCTAGACCTTTCGGATGTACCGATGAAATGCCCACAGCTTTGGGTGGTCATCTGGACACATGTGGATGCCAGCGTCATCGGGCCCGATGGTGGATGGCAATCGTGGGGAGATGATCCCACTGTCTGTGGATGGAACGGATCCCCCAAAGGCTACTTGGCTCGTGCCTAACTACGCATCTAGGATCAATGACGCGCGCTCTAACCCTAGCGTTCATTTTCTCTTGGATCACCCAGTGCTGAACGTGACGGCTCTGAAACGATTCCTGCGTTCCTTCCTGGAAATTGCGAGAGGGGGAGGCGTAATCGATTGTTGGATCTTCGAGCCGCCCTGACCCCTGCACCTTCGACCAGGCAGTTGAAGGCAGGTACTTGAACAGACCCGATATCCAACTGGGGAACAGCCCGTGTTCATAGCGCGGAATGGGGGTTCAGTCTCAAGACTAAGATGCTTGCCAGCCCCGGGCCCACCCAGAGAGCGATGGCAGTCTTTCACAGTCGGATCAAGCAGACAGATAACCATTAATTGCAGCATGCGTGCAATAACACATTTAGTGATGTGATAGAGAAGCACCGCATCTTGCAACACTTGTTGCTATCATTGTGCTTTTATTCTGCGTCAAGCGCATCCCTGATATCGGCTTAGGTGGCAATGGGATGCCCATCGATCGCAAATTGCAAAGTATTGCAGCGGCCCGTATGGCAGTGGATTCGCCCAGTCGGACCGTCCTTCCGAGCCTTTCAACGGATCCAGTCGAGCCAGTGGAAGAGCTAGGTCCCAATTCAGTTATAGAGATCCATGCGAAGTGCTCGACTGGAGTTGTTGGTAACGAATCTAGGTGGACTGGGCGCAGCGGCTCAGCTGCTGCCTCCTCATCTGCTGGCCTTCGGGGCGCTGCTCCTCGCCCATTGCCTTTTCGGAGCCCGCAATGGCTGCTGCCTCTGATGGGCGCCCCCGTCGGCTTCTGCAGGTGAGCCGCTGCTGGCCGCCGTGTCTGACGGGCGCGCGCTGCGCGAGGTTGCGCGGGGGGCGCCCTGGCAGCCTGCGCAGGAGGGGGGAGCGAGGCCAAGAAGCAGGCGCCCGAACGCCGAGCGGAGGGTCGCCGAGTCGGGACCGCCGCCATGGAAAAGTGTGGCACCGCTGCGGACGTAAGTACATGATCAGAAGAAGAGGATGGAGAGTGGCGCATCGAGCAGCCACTTGACTAGAGGTTGTTACCACCGTGAGCAAAATCAGCGCTAGGATCGGAAGGAAGACAACAAACGTGATGATAATAGGGGCTGGTATTCCTCATAATGACCACGAGGACGAAATAGAAGACGGATCTCAAACCGTACGAGGTGAAGATGCGCTGCTGATGGAGGCTCGGCTTCCTAGGCACCACGTGTGGAAGAAGAACTGGACGAAGTTCTTGTGCCTGATCTTCCACCTTCGCTACTGAGCGTGAGTACTTGATCTGTGGGGTACGTCGGCCCGCTTCGACCTTGCCTTCTGAGGATTCTGGCGGAAGCGTCGGCGCCCCTCCCCTGTGCGCCCGAAGGATTTTTTGGGGCGTGCACCGGGGGGGGGGGCCAGTGCGCCCCTGGGGGCGCCGGGCAACCGCGGGGTGGGTTGGTGGCTTGGGTCAACGCGGCCCGCCGCGGGGGAGTTCTTATTGCTTTCTCCCGGCTCGCTCCATGCCGCCGCCCGCTGCCGACGCCGCTGCCCCGCAGCAATCTAGCACGCGTCGAACCAGGATCGCGCGCTGCCCGTGCGCGAGAGTAGCGTTGAGGAGGAGATTGCAGTTCTTTCTCCCTTTCTGACTCATCCCTTTTTCTCATTATTCCAAGTGCGTCCATATATCTGCTTAGCGGATCCATCATGAGCTGTGGGGCCCATAATCTACCAACATTATCCCAGCTCTTTTTGCAACCACAACAACCGCAACAACGACAACACGACCAACACCATCAGCAACATCGACAACAATTGCAACACCAGCAGCCGCAACATTACTCACAACAGCACCAGCAGTTACATCAACTTACATCAACCTCAACAACGACAATCATGTTGAGAGGGTTCGCCCTTATTGGTGCGCATCATGTTTTGCACTCGGTATGCCCCGGCCCTCGATGCCCACCCGCTTCGTCTTCGATCGCACCCCTTTTCGGGTGGTATATGTTTCTCGTCGGCCACTGACTCATGTGCGAGGGGCTCTCAAGTAAGAGCGCCGTTCCTGAGTTCGGGTGCTCCTCTTGCCAGGCCGGGGGCTTTCGGAATATATTTTTGACAAATATCGAACGGGAACCCATGTCGCCGTGTCTTGGCCTCCACAAACTTCCTGTCTTACGATAAGATTTTGAGCGAGAGCGCTACTCTTCAGTTTGGGGGCCTGTGGCAAGGGGCTTTGCGAATACATTTTGAGGAAATATAGTACGAGAGCCCTTGTGACAGAATCACCAACATGTCTCGAGCGAGAGCGTCGTTCCTGCTGAGCTCGGGGGCCTTCCTGGCCAGGGGTCCGGAGTACATCGTGCAAAAGTATCAAGCAGGAGCCCTTGTCGTCGTGGGTGGGCCTCCGCCAAATTATCGAATTGCGAGGAAGTCTCGAACGAGAGCGCCGTCTGGAGTTCGGGGGCTTCTCTGGCCACATGTTCCGGGGTAAATGTGAGGAAGTATCGAGCAGGATCCGTTGTCGTCGTAGCCAGGCCTGCAAGGGCACAGTTTTGCACTCAAGCCAACGCTCGCGCGGGAACCGCGCTTTCAGAGGAAAACGAAACACCGGCGTCGAGGCGAGAGCGCGCGGTAACCGTTGCCGGACAGCAGCATGAATTATTCTCCAGAAGTGAGTATTCAAAAATAATGCCTCTCCGTCCCTGCGCCCGGATCCCGCGGCCGATCCGAACGGCGCCTCCCAGGGTGACGTTGAGTTTGTCTGCGGCACGGCGGCGAGCGCGGGCGACGTGTCCAAGCTGGGAAAGGGCTGCGCGCTGGCGGCGGACGGAACCTGGGTGCTGTCAGGTCTTGGGGCATGACAACAAACTAGTCGACGGCGCCGGGGCGCTCTAGAACGGGCCTGGCCCTCGAGGGATCGATGAGTTGCCCCGAGGCCGTTTTCCTTCGTATTCTTGCAAATTCAGTTGCTTGCATGGGTGGGGGCTGGAGCTCGGGTTTGCCACCGCTTTCTGATGGCCCGGTTTTCGTGAGATGTTTGCAGAGAGAGAGAGAGAGAGAGAGAGCGAGAGAGCCCGTGCCAGATGTCGTGCTGCGTCACGCCATTTTCTGGACGGCCCCGTCAGGCCAACTCGAGTCCAGCAAAAAGGGTGGAGAGGCCCGAACGGAAGCCGAGATTTCATGCAGGTCGGGACACACATCCGTTCGCCTGTTCGGCTCAGCGCTGTTCGACAAGACGGCGGAGGGCCGGATGGGGGGCACGCCATGCATTGCGGATCGACGTTCGATCCATCCCCTGCTGCTGCTTCCACTCTGGCTGCCAGGTAGGGCAGGGCACGGATAAGAAACTCGGTCTCCAGAGGCTGGATTCTCATCCACGCCCCCGCTCCGCCCCCTCGTAGAATTCTTGCGTGCGCAAGGACACGGACAAGATGTCGATCGCTCGGTAAAAGCAGATTTGCCCGAGCCTAAAGGTCATTGCTTTTTTATGATTTTGCTGATCGGCGTGGGCCCTCGCCCCCCCCCCGATGCAGTAGATCTCGGCTTCTTTTGGCGCCTGTTTCCAGCAGGTGGAGTCTCCCCCGTAGAACGGACTGTTGCAAACAGTCGCATCAAGCAGAGGTCCGGAGCGAGAACCCCCCCCTCCCCCCCCCTGTGCCCCATGTCGAAAAGCTGGATGAGAGAAAGTTCACAAGACGCGGCCGGCAAATCCGAGGCTCCGGCAGACTCGAGCCTCGCGCTTTCCCGGCATGGCCGAGAGAGCCCCGTCCCCAGCGTCGGCGGCGCGCACGGAGGGGGAGACAGAGGGGCTCCCTGGCCTTCGGAGGAGCCGTCCCTGCCTTCGGAGGAGGCTCGGGAGACGTCCCGTCTTGCGGTTGACAGTCACGTCCTTTGTGCCCAACGCCAAGACGCCGAGTGTGAAAGCGTTTAGACGAACGGCCTCCTGCCTCCCCTCCCGCGGCGGAGGGCTGGCGGCCCGCAGGGGGCCCCGCGGGGGGGGAGAGCCGGCGGGCGGGGTTGCCCGCGGAGGGCTGGCGGGAAGCCGGCGGAGGTGAGAGTTCGCCCCCGAGGGGTACATTCAAGCAGTGGCGAAGCGCCCTGGCGTGCATATCGCCCATACCAAAGAATGTTCTAAGAACCTTTTGTGGTTTCCACGACATGTTCTTAGAGCATTTCTGGCCGGGACTGGCTTGATTTAACATATCGGGTTTATGTTCTGAGAGCATCGTTTTTGTTCTTAGAACATTTTTGGGGTTCCAAGAACATTTCGAGGTAGGACTATAGGAATGCCAGGACTGTCGGTCCCTGCTCAAGGAGATGTTCGCATGTCGGGGGTTGCTCGGATTGAAGAAGAAACAGCGCCATAAGCATAAACTTTTGGCGCTCCGCGTGGATTTCTTGGATCCGCGCTGGGACCTCCCTGGCGGCGCCTCCGGCGCCGCCCCTGACGCGCTCCGCGCGCCAGGGAGGGGTGTCCAGCGCGGCCACGGGAATCCTCGGGGCACCTTGGGCCAGGGGCATTTCTAGCAACACCCGAGCATGTGGCACGTTCGCCTCCTTTTCCAGGCCACATTTCACTGCCTGCGTTTGCTTATCGCAGGTTGTCTTCTGCGAGGTTTTTCCCTGTCTGCCCGGCGACATCTTGAGATTCGCGCAGCGGGTCTCAAGTGAGCGGGAGCCGACCTGCTCATCGTGCCAGAGGCACTGGGCTCGGGAGCCGAGCTACTCACCATCGCGGTTCGGCTCCGATTCCTCCTCACCTTCCTTTCTCCCCTGGGGGGCGGCGCGAGAGCGCGAAGCTATTCGCACTCCGCGCTTCGCGCAGCGCGCAGCGCGAAGTTGGGGGCCCTTGCAGAGGCAGTGGTCCTGGAAATCGGCAAGTTCGCTCTCAACAGCGCTTTTTTTCCCCCCCCCGATCGGGCCCCGGGCGGCACGCGGCCCAGGAGCAGCCAGGCAGGGCCTCGGCGGCCGGGGCGTGCTCCCCCCTTCTACGGGTGTCGCTGCACTCATCGAGACTGAAAGAGCCCCTGACCCTAAACAACGCAGTGCAGACGTGGCCTCACTGAGGTCCGCGTATCTGCATTGGGGATCATAAGCCTGGGTGGATGACTCGGCACGTCTGCAGACAAGACCCCCTGCCCCTGATGTTTTTGGCCCTCTTCACTCAGGTTCCCCCCAACGGGTTAGGGGTCTTTTTACTGCTAGTCCCAGACCTGGTCCTGGCCCAGGGTGTCCACAGCCTCTCGCGCCGTCTTGCAGGCCCTGGGGCCCTCCTGGGCCTCGTGAGGGTTGGTCTGGAGGCCAGCTGGGCCTCCGCGGGGCGCGAAGGTGAGGAACCGCGCTTCGCGGTTCGAGGTCTCAAACATACTCCAAAATGGCCGAAAAGTACTCAAAACATCGTCCCCAGACTATTTTTTGATTATTTTTAAATATCCCCCCTGTAGAGGGACAGGCCCGACTTCAACCCAGATATTAGTCCTTCCATTTCCCCTACCCCCTGGGTTGGAGAGGTGTTCGTCTCCAGGGGGCGGCGCGAGAGCGCGAGGACAGCCCAGGGCGAAGGTAGGAGATCTACACAGAACCTGCGGAATGCATCAGGGCTCCGCCACCATCTTTGGCCAGGACCATGCTGGGCCCTGACCCCTGACCAGGAATGGTGGTGGTGAGTAGGTGCCTTCTGACGAGCGATCTCAGGCCTGTCTGCGACGCCCTGTCGACCGCAGGGCACACCAACGTCGCCCTGGTCCTGGCTCCCAGATGCCTCGCTGTCCCGCTCGGATCCATCGTCTTCAGAGCCTGGTCTTGGGGCGGCCGCCAGCGAGGCTGGCCGTGCTGTCCCGAAGCATGCCGCCCCACGCCCGTTGCCCTCCTCCCTCGCCGCCATGGGCCCGCCGCCGGGACGCTCCGAGCCATCGGGGGCCGACCCGGGCTGAGGGTGGAGCCTGCGGTGGAGAAGTCGGCCGCAGATGCCCTCCTGGGTCTTCCCCGCCAGGAAACCACCCCGTGCCGATCTGCTGGAGCAGCTGGGTGCGAAACGGCACGACCGGGGCCCGGGCGCCGTCCAAGCAGACGTGCGCGAAGGGGATCTCCCTTTTTCCGCGAAGAGACTCCCGTCCTGCAGGGCGTCCGCAAGCATTCCTCTCCTCTACAATTACTCAATCTGAAAATACTCTCCCTCTTCCCCTGATGGCGGTTGGGTGATCGCCGACCCCCCCCCGCGTACTGTTTTTTTACACACAGGATTCCCGGGAAACGGGTTTTCGCCTGCGTTTTTTTCCAAAATGCTGCTCTGGCTGAGGCGTCGGCCTCATTTCTGCTCCCGAATCGTGCCGAATCGTGCTCCCGCTGCAGCGTGGGCCTCATTTTCGGATCGGTGTTTGGCCTCCGTCGTTCAGGATGGCGTTCTCGCCCCAGCGCGGGCCTCTTTCTCGCGCGCCCATCCGCCCGCCACCACCGCGCCGCACCACCACCACCACCACCACCACCACCACCACCACCACCACCACCACCACCACCACCACCACCACACACCACCACCAGCACCACCACCAGCACCACACACCAGCACCACCACCACCACCACCACCACACCACCACCACCACCACCACCACCACCACCACCACCACCACCACCACCACACCACCACCACCACCACCACCACCCACCACCACCACCACCACCACCACCACCACCACCACCACCACCACCACCACCACCACAACCACGCACACACGCACGCACGCACGCACGCGCACCACCACCCACTACGCACGCGCGCGCGGAGCCACAGGTCCGCTACGACACGCGTCCGCGGATAGAGAAAATCAGCGCCATGGTAAGGGTTGGGAGGGAGGGGTAGGACGTCAGATATGACGCGAGCGCACCTAGCTTGTCTCCATCCCCTCCTCCTCCTCCTTCTCCTCCTCCTCCTCCTCCTCCTCCTCCTCTCCTCATCTCCTTCCCTTTCCATCCCCACCCTCCTCCCTCCTCCTCCTCCTCCTCCTCCTCCTACGACTCCGACTCCGACTCATCGAGTGACCATGGAGGAAGGAAGGATGGTGTTTTCTGTTGGGCGTTTGGATCGAGTCTATACCAATATGTTTTCGGTGCCCCTTCTGGACTTGAAGCACAACTCTCTGTTTCTCAACGATATCCTGGACCTCGATTTCCCGTCGGACCACGTCCCCCTTTCCCTGATGCTTTCGGTTTTCCAGAAATCTCAAGGACCTCCTCGGATCCAGCCCTAGATTTCGAAGCATCCTGACTTTGCCGAAAGTGTTCACACTGTTCTTCTGGAAGTCGGAGGTTTGAGTTCTGATCCAGTGCTTGCTCAAGCCGAATGCAAAGACCTTCTACGAGAAGCCGCGGCTCGCCTGCTTGCCCGTCCCGAGCACCGCCATGGATCTTCGCCAGTGGAGAAGCTGTCGTGGACCCTTTCTGCCATGCGTGCAGTTGATGCTGAGGATCAGCACCTTCGGCGACGAGCTTTAGATGTATATCCCAAGCTGTGTGAATTCGTCGACTATGAGTCTGGGGCCTGGATTCGTCAAGCCGATCTCCGTCGTCATCCCGCTTCACTCTCCCAGGATAATTTTCGTCGGCGACTCAATGACTTCGCAAGCTGACCTTCACCCGCAACGCAAAACAGAAACGCGAGCTCGTCGTCTCGCATATCAGACAGCTTGGGGTAGCGTGCTGGTATGTATGCTTCATGGACGAGAGGGACCCCGCCAGCCAGCGCATCTCCGATCCCGACTCAGTGGCGAAAGAGCGGGCTCAGCACTGGCGGTCTGTCCATCAGAGAGGCTACTACTGCGAGAACGCGTACCAGATCTGCGCACCGCGG